CACAGACTTCTATATGAATAACCCAGGACAGCACCAATATTATATTGATCAAAATTCTTACACGTAAGAGTTGCAATGATATATAGCTCCAATACTGAAATGATATATAGCTACAATATTGCAATAGCACATATTTTAAAATTAATAATTAAGATGCTGCATTCAGTTGCTGATGCTCAAATGCTGTAAGGGCACAATGAAAGCTTAACTAACTGTATTTATTTCTTTAGAAAAGTTTTAAACATGGAAGCACTGTAACCTGATCTGAAGATCTGTCATCTTCTCACAATAGTTATACCAACCATTGTATCTACTAATCTATAATTTTTATTTTCTAAATAAGTGGCAATTATCAGGAGGCTATTTTGTCAGTGGCAAATTACCCAGCATTAACTAATAGCATCCCACAAGTAGCTTCAGATGTTGCACACTAAAATTTGCCCAATAAGTTGTAGAAAAACTGTACAATTAACATGATGCCAGGCAGTTCAGATACAGCAGATGAAATACAGGACTCGGGGGGGTTTTCTAGGGGAATGCCATTGCCCTAATTAAAGAATTTTAACACAATACAAAATGACCTTCCTGAAACTGAGAGAAGCAGAATGGCATTTTGGTAAAACAATTATTTAGGTTATGTGTAACAAAGCTTCTCAAATATTTTGAGCATACCTGCTGCTATATATCAAAATGAACTGTCCCTGGTGAAACCTGAAATGACATTTCTCTACCTTCATTTCTTCCCTCCAAATTTAATTAACAATTACCTGAAGCCTCTAGATAATCATTAAATGTTCAGGTATTACAGGTCTGCAAATATTTCTTTTTAATTTAGCCTTTGAGGTGCAGGTTAAAAAAAGAAAGTTTAAAAATGTTCTGACATGGAATATTAATCTAATAAAATGGAAATTGTATATTTTGGCAAAATGTTTCATCGACGGAGCAAGACTTTTGAATGAAAAAGAAGTATTTTGAGTTTGAAACATCTCAGAACAGAAACAGTTCTAGACAATGAGTTTTACTTTAACAGTATCTATTATTTATATGATGGATGTATATAAACATAAATAAATAAACATAAAAAGCATTAAGCATACATGAATAAATGCAAACTTCAAATTGCCTTTCACAAAATACAATTTGTGAAAGCTTTGACTTGAAATTTTCTTTTAAATTAATGCCGAAAACCACGACTGGGTCAAGTAATCCCTCAAAGTTTTGAAATCTCTTCTTCTCAACTAAAAAAATTTCTTGGATTTTACTTAACTAAAAACATTGCTTCAACTTAAATTATTAACAGGAAAGTATTTATCAGTTCTTCACAGTGAGATAAATGTTGTGGGCTTCAACCAGGAAGTTCAGTTGTGGCACAGGATTTTTGTGGTTTTGGTTTTATTGTTCTCTTTCTTTTTTATTCTTTGTATACATATATTGGTTTATTCTTTCGCTGTGACCCACCAAGGATTTGGTTTTAAAATAGACAGTCCTTTATTTATTTTAGTATTTCACCTTTATTATTTTTATAAATTAGAATTAGAGTAGATTTGGAAGGGATCTTGTAGATCATCTAGTCCAACCCTCGACCCAAGCAGGAGACCCTGCCCCATTTCTGACAGATGGCAGTCCAGTCTCTTCTTGAAAGCTTCCAGTGATGACACTCCTACAACATCTGGAGACAAACTGTTCCATTGGTTGATTGTTCTCACTGTCAGAAAATGTCTCCTTATTTCTAGGTTGAATCTCCCCTTGATCAGTTTCCATCCGTTCTTCCTTGTCTGGCCTTCAGGTGCTTTGGAAAATAGATTGACTCCGTCCTCTCTGACACAGCCACTCAAATATTGCTATCATGTCTCCCCTGGTCCTTCTCTTCACTAGACTTGCCATGCCCAGTTCCGTTCTTCTAATGTTTTAGCCTCCAGACCCCTAATCATATTTGTTGCTGTTCTCTGCACTTTTTCTAGAGTCTCAACATCTTTTTTATAGCGTGGAGACCAAAATTGGTTGCACTATTCTAGGTGTGATCTTACTAAAGCTTTATAGAGTGGTATAAGTACCTCATGTAATCTTGATTGAATCCCTCTGTTAATGCAACTTAGTATTGCATTGGCTTTTTTGGCTGCTGCTGCACACTGTTGGCTCATATTTAATTGATTGTCCACTAAGACTCCAAGATCCCTCTCACAGTTAATAATAATAATAATAATAAATTTAATTTATATGCCGCCCTTCTCCCAGCGGGACTCAGGGCGGCGCACAACATATTTAAAACAAAACATAAATACATTCCCCCCCGATAAAACCGAATTAAATCAAATTTTAAAGTTGTGTCTCTGTCAAATTGTTAAAAGATAAACCCCAAATAAAATCCTCCCTAGGTCAGGT